GCAGTGCGGGAGGACAGAGAATGGGGGTGATGGTGAGTTCATCACATGTTGACTCTGCCATGCCTCCCTCCTCAGGGGAGGACTATTCACACTCTTCCCCTGCTCCAGTGTGGGGTCCCTCCCATGGGAGATGGTTCTCCATGAACTTCTCCAACATGGGTCCTTCTCCTGGGCTGCAGTTCTTCACATACTGCTCCAGCACGGGTCCATTCTGTGGTGTGCAGTCCTTCAGGAGCAAACTGTTCCAGCGTGGGTCCTCCATGGGGTCACAAGTCCTGCCAACAAACCTACTCCAGTGTGGGCTCTCCACAGGGTTACAGCCTCCTTTGGGCGTCCCTCTGCTGTGGCATGAGGTCCTCCATGGTCTACCGGTGGCTATCTGCTCCACCATGGACCTCCATGGGCTGCAGGGGGACAGCCTGCCTTACCATGGTCTGCACCACAGACTGCAGGGGAATCTCTGCTCCAGTAACTGGAGGACTTCTCCATTGCTTTAATAATAGGGATGCCAGGTTAGCTTCAAATCAGTATAAATAGAATATGCAAGCAAAATTGATTTCAAGATATATTTGCTTTTATGCAACACCTTAGCACCTGAATATCTGAATACTACCTGTCACGAGTATATTTTATGCCAGTGTAATAGCATCCTGTAGAAAAATCTGTACCATCTTGAAATCAGTGCATCATGAACTTGGAAATCAAACTGGAAAGTGTCTTTGAATCTCTCTTACCTTTGTCTTATGGTTGTGGAAGTAAAATCGTGAACTATGTTGCGGTTGCCTCACTATACTGTGTTTTGGCTTTTCAGGAAATCTGTGTGGGAATATTAGGAAATATGGCCTGTTTCCAAGATATATGCATGTCCATTAGTAAAGATGAGAATCTTGGGTAAGTGTGTATGTGCTATATATATATATGCATGGTGCTGCTTTTCTGGACTCATAATCATGAAATATATGTTAAAGAAGGAACTAAGTTTGCCTGCCATGCCTTATGTTCATTCACACCCTTTTGGCTGACCATGTTTGTGTGGGAAGTGTTCAGTGAAAGAAGAAAAGGATACAGAACCACTTTTATTTTGTTTGTTTTTAATCAACAGTCAAGTTAAATCTTTAATTTCCCAAGTTGGGCAATATAGAAACACTGGAAATGCATGCACAGTCAGGAGAAGCTGGTTTTAACCTCAGAGCATGACTGCAGCTATGAAATCCACCTTTTTGTAACCTTTTTTAAACAAAGATACATTTTATTAACTTTTATCTTGCATTTTCTCTTTAAAGCCAGGTACTACTGCAACGTTTGTGTGATTCAGACTCCCCAACTCTCCTGGAAACAAGCAGGTAGGACATCTCAGAACTTAATGCATCGTTAGTGTAGTTCTGCTATGTTCTGAGGCCTGGGAAGAAAACTGACAATGTTTCTGTCACATCATTCTCATTATTTTGGATTTGCACTTGTACAGCTAAAATGAATGAATTGGCTTCTAATTTGTTAAATGGGCAATTCTTGTCTAGGTTGTTGTTAACTTGCCTCTCCCAGCCTGAGGTGGCCAATATCTGGGTTGAGAGAATCCGAGAGAACCCTTCTGTGTATGACTGTGTGTGCTTTATCATGTCCAGCTCTACAAATGGTAAGTTGCCAAAAATTAGTGGGTGTTTACAGAACACAAAAAAAAAAAACCCAAAAAAAACCCCAAAGTGTGCAGTTTCAAAGCCATATTTTCAATTGGGAATACAGAATTTGTTTAAAGTAAAGTAAACCTCATGGATTTAAAGGATACCAAAATAAACTTGTCCTGCCTTTGTGGGTTCACAGGTATATCTAAAACCAACCAGAAAAGCAAAAAATAGAGGAAAAAAAAGCTCTGTGGGGGAATCAAAATAAGTCTGATAGAAGAAATTACTGTTTGGCACACTAAAGGAAAGGACATCGTCCTCATTCAGGAATATGCATATGTCATTTTTGATCTTGAAAAAAGACCTCATTTAAATTTCCTTTTTTCTTTTTTTCCCCAAACCAGTTATATATGAATGTGTATGTATATGTGGAGGTAGATATATATAGAAACATATATATGGAATGTGAACTGGAAAAATGATTCAGTTACCCTGAATGGCAGCTGAGTACTGCACAGGCTTTGGTACACAAACCTCTCAGAAAATATTTAGCAAAAACCACATTAAGCACCTAATAATGGAAATACATTGAATAGCATCTGTGTTTTGCATCCAACTCCATTTTAGCAGCAGTTATTATTTGTCTAGGAATTCTAATCATTCATCCTTTTCAAATTTTTGGTTTTTCTGTTTCATGAGAGTGCTCGGGAATCCTGCTCCATCCAGTTGCAATCACAGCCCTGCTTAAGTAAAATGCAGATTGGTAGGTGTAAGGTTAGCAGAAAACTGCATATTTATGGGCAAATCTTGGAAAGTTTTACTTCAGGAGCAGAAGTTCCAACTTTTCAGGAATGTGAATTTTCTTTGCAGAATAAAGTTCCTCCTTAATAAATGGCATGATAAAGTAGAAGTCAGTGTACTTTCCAAAAATCCCTATTTATGAAGCTCTTCATCTGATCTATACCACAAAAATGAATTGAACATAACAATTATGTTATGTTCAATAACATAATGTTACCTAATAGTAGGTCATGAAAGAAACTAATAATATTTCAGCTCTGAATACTTCTATATGTTAGCATTTTGAGAGCTATTTTTTGCTTTTTGTTTTTAGTCTTGTTGAATTTTATGCATTCTCTCTTGTGCAGTTGAATTGCTGGTAAAAGTGGGTGAAGTGGTGGACAAACTCTTTGATCTAGATGAGGAGCTAATGTTGAACTGGATTAAAAATGGCACTTGTCCATCTGTGGGACCATCTGTAGATGATTCCCCTGAAGAACTTCCAGATTTTAAGATTGTGCCTTGTATACTTGAAGCAGCCAAACAAGTCCGGTATGTGATATTTTGTTATGGTTTCGTGGCTAGGGGGAACTCCTTATAACCATGTTAAGGCTTGTGTCTGAACATCTCGATTTCAGTGGGAGCTGTGTAGTTTGACAGGTCACTAGAATACGTTTTCCTGTACTTAAAATATGAAGTGAATCAACTAGTTTGTTAGCAAAGAGAGCGGCAGTGATTGCTCATAGTGTGTCCAAAACACACCAAATGCATAATTTGTCTTTGTTTTTTGTTTGTTCTGTGTAGATCAGATAATCCAGAAGGACTTGATGTTTATATGCATATTTTGCAGCTCCTGACCACGGTGGATGAGGGTATTCAGGCTATTGGTAAGACACTTGCATTGCTACATATGATGGGACCAACAATGGCAGTAACTTCTAGATCATCAGATATTTAATGGGTAGAAAAATAATTCATGTACCTAGATTAAATCTGTTGGGTTGGTGGGTTCTTTTTCTTTCTTTCTCAAGTGCAGGTTCCTGATGGAGGAAAAGAGACTTGGAGTTTGCTGTATGACCTTGTTTGCCATGAACTTTGCCAGCCAGATGATCCACCGATCATTGTGCAGGAGCAGAAGACTGTATTGGCCTCTATTTTGTCAGTGCTGTCTGCTATGTTTGCTTCACAGACAGAACAAGAATACACAAAGATGAGGAAAAGCAAGTTGTGGGTTTTTTTTTTCCCCTGGATTTGGGGGTTTGGTTTGGTTTAGGTTTTGGGTGTTGGTTTTTTTTTTCCCCCCCCAGATATTTTCACAATTGACTCTATGTATGTGTGGCAAAGGGTGATTAATATATTGCTGTTAACTAGAGATCAGTTCAGAACACAGAATTCGGTTACATGTTTGAATACAGTAAGATTCTTTGCTGGTGACTCTAAAAATCACAGCTAGCTCGAAGTTTGGTTACTGGATCTCTCTGAAGAGTTACAGTAATAGACTCTACAGATGCTGTTCAGTTTTCTCCATTGGATAAATTAAGGAAAATTGCAGAATTAATCTTTGATAAAATACAAGGGCTTTGTAGTATTTCCTTTTTTTATTTTTTTATTTTTTTTTTTTTAGCACGGATCCATTCTGCACTTAAATCCATCTTTATCACTTGTTACTTTTCAATCTTTTGTTAGGTCTTTAAAATTGAAAGCCTATCTTGGGAATGGGAATCAGGGTCATCCGCAGGAGAAAGACACTGGCAATTTGGTTTATCAGACAGGACTTCCTGGATGCAAATTTAAGATTCTAGCCTCTGAGTTACTACTGTAGACATTTTCCTTCTTGTATTCCTTACCATTGGGATATATGTTTTATAGATAAAGGTTAGCTTGCAGAAAAATGGTTTGGGTTTTCTGCTACATTTCTGCTTGCTTCTTTAAACAGTTTTTGAGTGGCAAAACACAACAGTGTCAGTATACACATTCCTTTAGCTTCTTTATAAAATCTGGTGGTGTGTTTCAAAATTCTAATGCCTTGAAAAGATGGGGAAAATTTTCAGTGTTAAGCTTCCGTTTTCTTGTTACTTTATATTAGATATGCCTCTGATTGGCAGCTTGATTCGTATCTTGCAATACATGGAGGGCTGTGGGAAGAGAGCTGGTGATAGCTCAAAGGAGTCTGAACAAGAAGAGACTGGAACAGCTGATATAAATGATGAAGACTTCCATTTAAAAATTTTGAAGGATATTTGCTGTGAATTACTTTCAAATATGCTTCAAGAACTGACCAAGGTAAGAATAAACCAAATTCTGAGAGGGATTTCTGCAGGGTAGGTAAGAAAAGAGACACTACTATTAATGTGAATATTTTTCTGTGCAAGTGAAGTTGCATACTGGAAATTCATTAGAAAATCAATCAGAAGGTAGGTAGCAAAATGTGTGTTAAATGGCAGGGACACAGGCTATCCGAGATATGTGCCTTTAGGGCCAAGATTATGTGTAAATTCTGTAAGTGTATGTTGCCCTTTTGTTTGAATGAAAGCCAATTTATTTAAGAAAAGGTAAGAATCTGAATATGAAGAAGAATATGTAAATTCACATTCTCCACTGGACTTTTTTATTATGGGAGCATGCAGATTAAGAGTCTTACGATGTGTGAGCTTTCACACCTTTTGTATTTGCTATGGCTGACATTCTCTGAGAACTCTTTTTTAAGTTCTGGTTGGTTTACCTATTTTTGAGAGCAAAGCACATGCTGTAGAGACTGTGTGCACCATTTTGAGTTTATTTGTTCACAGCTGTTCATGACATGCTAATTGTAATTCTTACTTTATTTTCCAGGAAAATACATTAGAAGGACTACACCAGGGACATTTAAATGAGCAGACATGTTCCTGTGCATTTCAGAACCTCTTACCTCTGTATTTTGCATCAGTGAGTATATCACCAGGTCTTTAACATAGCTGAAAAAAATACTACTTGGGTGGCGAGGCCTTTTAGATCAGATGCAGAAGTAGGACAGAATTGCTTGGACACTGATAATATGCCATTCTAGACAGTCTTACCTTCTCTGTCTCTTCTGGCTTACTTCAGCCAGAGCTTTGTCTAGATCATCAGCTGAGGTAGGGGTCAAACTGTGCTGAAATGAATGGATAACTGAAATTTATGGTAGCTGAAAATTTGTCCTATGTATTTTTATAGAATAATTATTCTAATTATTTTTTATAGGGAGGTTTTCTTTGTGTACTTTTAAACAATAAAATAAGAGTTTGGGGAAGGCAGTCGTATTCTGAAGTTTAGACCAACTGAAATTATGGGGTTTAGGAGGAAGGTATCTACTGTGGGGCTTTATCCACTATTCTTTGCAGTGGCTGCTGCTGGCTACTGTTGATGGGTAGGTACAGAAATAGAAAAACCCCCTATACCAAGTGTAAGAATTTTGTGTCCCATGAAATTTAGTTTATTGTCTTCCCTTTCTCCTTCCCTCTTTGTGTTTGCTGTTTATTTCCAGGTGGAGAGTTTCCTTGAAGTGCTGCGTGAGGCTGATCAGACACTTGCTGATAATCTCGAAAAACGTTTCCCAAGCCTGAAGGTCCACTCCTAAGAATGTACATGAAATATTTTCCTTCTTTGGAATGAAGATTTTAACTGTTTTATTACAGTGTTTCAGAAATCAAGTTTTCAGTAAATGCAGAAGAATGCGACAACCTCCTTAGCAACAGGTGGCTTTTAAGAAATCTTCCAGGTAGCCGTGATTAACCTAGGGTTGATCTGGTCTTTATGGGGAAGGAAATTACTGTAATTTCAATTCTGTATCTTCCATCTTATTTGCTCTGGCGCTGAGAGACTGTTGATTTCTAATTGCTCTTCTGCAGCATAGTTGTATTTTTTTTTAATAGCTCTTGAGTCTATGCTTTTCAACTGATGTTGAAACAGCAACATGAATGAAATGCACTGAGTAGTTATTTTTAATGTGATGCTGGTTTCTTCTAAGTTGCTGTTGGCAAAAGGAGGATTGGTTGATAGGAAATCCCAGATGTCCTCTGATTAAGGGTCTCCAAGCACCTGATAAAAACAGTTAAATTACACAGAATTATTTGTGTTTTCCTTTTTTCTCTTTCTTTTCTTACAGATCATATCAACACCTTGAGCAGGTATTCTGTCAGAAATGTCTCATCCTGGTCCTTTAAAATCTTCACACATCTTAACACTAAAACCTCTCTATACTGCAGCTGTGGCTTGTGGCATCAAGGTCCTGTGCAGTTTAAAGGATTTGAAAATATAGTTACCAATGGTCTATGCTGCAGCTTCCAACCATTGCAGCCAGTTATCTAGAGTTAGACTTGTAGGGCAGGTTTGGTTTTAACCTGTGGTGTCCTTGCAAACTTCCTGCTTTTTTAAAGCAGTCTGCACTTCAGTTTTGGAATGTAATGTGTCAGACAGTTCTTTCCTCATTCATGTGTTTTATGAATTATCTGTGAATGACAAAATGCCACCTTAGCCTTGTTTTTTTTCAGGGGAGCTTAAGGTATTAGGTCCCTTGCAGTAAAGCCCGTCTATGTTGTTCTAAAAATCCCACTTTGAATTATATTATGTTTTAACTGCATTACATTTTTAAATCATGTGCCTGCATGCAGTGCAACATTTTCTGTGTCTGAAAAGACAGTGTAGTAACACATCAGCTTCACTGATTTTATAAATGAAAATGGAAAGCAACTGGTCTTTATGAGGTTTGAGATGTAAAAGAAAATGGGAACCAGAGCATAGAGAGTAACTTATTACCATATACATATTCTCTGGCTCTCCAGATTTTTATAGACTTCAAGTGCTGGGCCATGCTTTGTTTGCCCTGAGTTACCTGTACATGTGGTAGAATACAGTATGTGTATATGTATATAGCTTTTTCAGCCAAACTTCCAGTTTTCAAAAACCGCTATTCAGTCATTCCTTTGGGCTGCCAGCAACATCTTAGTTGTCAGCAGGGGGGTTAGAATTACGAATATTTGGCTTGTGTCACCAAAAGGAATTACCATGGTTTCTATCCATTTTTGTATGCTATGTTTATTGGAGAAAGCTGGTAACTGTGAATAGGATGACAGCATTTTTCATACTACTTTGACAGTTTTGGGATATTTTCTTAAACCTACAGATTTGTAATAAAGTTTCTTTTTAAAAAACACCTGTACACTTCCCTTCATTCTAAGTGTCAATTAGATTTGTTTTCTGAGCTGTTGGAAATGTCTGTTACTTTAAAGTATGTCGTTTGTAAGAGGAAAACTGAATCTCTTCGCAGTGTCGATGTCCTGTAAAATACATTATCCTTCGTTGGATATTAATTTTAACTGCCCTTTGCTTGGTTGCTTAGCAATTTCTAAGGTGTGGAAGTTAATGTCTTTCATCCAGTTGTTAACATTTTTCTGAGCTTAGTCTGTCCCCCAGTGTATCAGAATTATCTTTATGATAGTCCACCCTGGTTAAGAATTATTGTCTTTTGAAATTTGATGTAGTTGTTGAAATTTGTCAGTAGTAGTTTACTGTAATACACAAACAAGCTGAGCCAGGATCTGTTATTTTGTTCCTTCTTTGTTTCAGTAACACAAATATCCAGTATTGGCTGATTAATTGTTAAATGTGGTATCACTAATTACAGCAAGTAGGAGAGATACATGGTTTCTCCGATATAATTATTGCCTGAGTGGGATGGTATCTACTACCTGTCATGCAATAGAAAAAATGACCGATGTTAGTAAGTGGGAAACCAACTGAGTCCCCTCCTCCTGCTCTTCTGTGACAGAAGAAGCTGTAGAAATGGGTTCAGGATGATAATTTGGTATGCCGGGAATTTTTATCCTTGATAAACATGGTAAAATGGAAACTGAATTCCCCCTTTGCCCCACCAGACAGCTGCTCTTGTGTGGTCTATGCTGCATGGGTGAGCCACCACTGTTGTGAGGAACAAGGGGCTGGCGCCAAACTGAATGCAAGGTAAAGGCACAGTGGTTTTGGCATTCAGGTGTGGAAGAAACGGTGGTAAGGGGTGAATGGTGTGTTTGGAAACGTTGCGCATGTATTTCATCATCTTGCCAGCAGGGACCTCCCTTAGCCTGTGCTTCGTGAACATCACGTGCCTCTGTTTTTTGAGGGAGTGAGGGGTGTCGGTTGGGGGCATGGTTGCTTTTTTGTGGTTTGGCATTTTTTTGTTCCCTCTCCTAGCTGTGCTTTGACACCAACTGGCAAGCCAGATCTCTCTGAGCTAGTTGGTTCAGAATGGATGTCTATTTACAAGCAGGTGAGCAACTTTCTCCCAGACCAAAGATCTGATTACCTCCATAACACTGGCCTTTGGGGGAAAGTGAGAAGTGCTTGTCACTGCAAAGGTCTGAACGAAAAGCAGGTATCACAAGTATTGAACTAAATTAACAGGAACTCAGTCCTGCTTGGATAGAACTGGTGTCAATTGTGGCACTAGAAAATAGAGGTAGAAATCAGACTGGAAGGCCTTATTTTAAATTAGGCTTAATAGATCCATTGAATAATTTAAATCAAGTATAGGATTCTAACTTTTTTTTTTTTTAACTTACATTTTATGTATATTTGGCATCTTTATCCTACATTGTAACTTTTTGCTGGTGGGGCGAAGCACCATAAAACTAACTAAATCTAGTATGGGGGAAAAAAACTTATATTAGAATGCTTCGTTTGTTCTCTTGATGGTGTGAGGTTGCTGCTGCTGTTGATAACCTAATGCTTGCCCAATATTCATGTCACAAACCTGTCCTTTCTGGTAGACTGAACCATATTCAGGTCACTCTTCCTTTTTTGCCATTACTTTTTTAGTTCATATTTTCTTGTAACTGCTTCAGTGGTTAATATTTCTGTAAGATTATGTGTTAAGATCGACCTGTTATAACTACCTTTGCTGTAACTAAGCTAACTGAGAAAAACCCCAAATCCCAAAACAATATTTGTAAGTCACCCATCTTCATAGTTGGTTACACTGGTATGAAAAGGGATAGATGTTACTGTAGTTTTGTTTGTTGCTTTGAAATTCCATGCTCTTTCCCACTATTTTGGCTGTTACTGAGAGTTACAAAAGCAGCAGTTACCTTTTACACTCAAGAATTTGCTTTTGTTTCTACAGCAAGAATCTCTTGGTCACAGCAGTTCCTTAGCATATCCTTTATTTTCCTCTCAAAACGAAATGTTGGCCGTTTTTTTCTTTTTTGATGCTTGTTTATTATTTTGTTCTAGATGATGATGAAATTCATGTGCTCTGCCAAACTCAATGAGAAAGGAAGAACCAGGTACACCTGGGGCAAGGACCAGCCTTCTGTAATATTACTCAGTTTCTCAAAACTCCTTCATGTGAAGGCAAACAAATGCAGTGAGCAGCTGTGTGTTGGCTCCCCAGTCACAGCTGCCTCCATCAGCCGTGCAGTTAGTGTGCCCCTCAGTTGGAGCTGACAAGGCGTGTGCTAAGTGAACCTGACATCACAAGGTTTGTAAAATAAACTAGGTTATTTCTGATAGCTATCAACAGAGGTTTTGCAATGGGAAATATGCCTCCTATTCCTCCTTTTATTTGTCTCCCTGATTCAATTATTTAGCTCTTAAAAAGGTTTTATAATGCAAGGAGCTGACACATCTAAGATTGGTAAGAGAAAAGGTTTGCTTCTGAGTTGTCGTGTTGTGGTGAAGAAAATGAACAAACCTAGGAAAAAAACACTGGGGTTCTGTTTGCTTTCTTTCTTCCACTTCAGGTCTTTGGGAGTTACCTGCATGTCTTCATCACGTGTCAGAAAATTCTGAGAGGTTAATTTTATACAAAGACTAATGCAAAAAAGAATGCTTGAAAAGGTAACAGTGGTGAGATGCTGTGAAGGGAAGTGAGACTAATACTAGAGAAGGAAAAGACATGAAGAAGGGATGCTGGAGAAAGAAAGAAAAGAGGAAGAAAACCACAAGAATTATGATAAAGGAGATAAATAGCAAGTAAGTGTGATGTTGAAGAAGAAAAGAATTGTCAGTAGCAATATTAGTATTGTAGGTCTGACCAGGTGGAATAGTTAGTGTGCAGTCACCTATCAAAAAAGTATAATATTGTTTACTTTTTCTATTTTCAAAGCTGAATCTCCCTTTGTCGTTTTTCCTGCTCTCATGAGAATGAGACAAATTTAAGGTGAAGGTGGGGTCTTTAAAACCACAGCAGGTGGGCAATCTAGTATTCCTTTATTACATTATTATTATTACTATTTATTCATACACCCACATTCCCCTCCTCCATTTGGCTGGCTGGCTGAGGCATCAGGGAGCTGTTTCATGATGGAGGTGAGGCAGTTCCAGGTGTTGCATGCCCTTGCCTCGCACAGGTATTGAACCCGCCACAGGTGAGATGTGAAAGCAGAGTCCTACAGAGTTGATGCCTGTGTTGCACATTGGTCTGAAATGAGCACAGCAGGCTGCAGCCTACTCCTGGATTTGAATAACTAGTTAGATATTGAGGGAAGGGACCTGCTTGATGCCTGCCTGGTTTTACTCAAGGAGAACAAAATCCTGCCCAGTCAGTATGAGTACAAATCCAGCAGTCAGTATGAATACAAATCTATCATCTTGCATTTGACTTCAGAATTTTTATATGAAAATATATTTATGCAAAATTAAAATTTCTGTGTGATTAATATATTCTGCTACTACTGGGATTAATATCCAAGCCTTGATCTAACATGCTCATATATCCATACACGTGGAATAGGCATATTGACCAACTGCACATTTGTGCCTATAATAACTGAGGTCCCATGCCTTTGACACTTCCCCCAATTTATGTCACTTCA